CAAAACCACAATGAGATACCATCTCACACCAGTTAGAATGACAATCATTAAAAAGTCAGGAAACAACAGATGCTGGAGAGGATGTGGAGAAATAGAACACTTTTACACTGTTGGTGGGAGTGTAAATTAGTTCAACCATTGTGGAAGACAGTGTGACAATTCCTCAAGGATATAGAACTAGAAATACCACTTGACCTAGAGATCCCAATACTGGGTATATACCCAAAGGATTAGAAATCATTCTACTATAAAGTCACATGCACATGTATGGTTATTGCAGCACTATTCACAATAGCAAAGACTTGGAACCAACCCAAATGTCCATCAACAATAGACTGGATAAAGAAAATGTGGCACATATACACCATGGAATACTATGCAGCCATAAAAAAAGATGAGTTCATGTCCTTTGCAGGGACATGTATGAAGCTGGAAACCATCATTCTCACCAAAATATCACAAGGACAGAAAACCAAACACCACATGGTCTCACTCATAAGTGGGAGTTGAACAATGAGAACACATTGACACAGGAAGGGGAACATCACACATTGGGGCCTCCTGGTGGGGGGCTGGGGGAGGGATAGCATTAGGAGAAATATCTAATGTAAATGACGAGTTGATGGGTGCAGCAAACCAACATGGCATATGTATACCTATGTAACAAACCTGCACATTGTGCACATGTATCCTGAAACTTAAAGTATAATAATAATAAAATATATATATATACACACACACAAATGCTATTTCAGTAACACAAGTTTTAGTTTGTGAACTAAAGTTTCATGAAAAATTTCAACAACAGATTGCTATTCTATAATGTTTAACCTCTACATTTGCTTTTGATCTAAAAATGCTTTTGGGGTGCTATTTTTAAAAGTGTTCTTATTGTGATTAAAAGTAGACTTTCCAAATCATCATTGCTCCTAAATTTTATAATACTAGATAAAGAATGAGATAAATACCTTTGTTATGTAGAAGATACAACAAGCTATCATGTGCTGTATACTTTCAAAGCTCGCAGTATGTTTCTTCGAGCAGACAATATTTGGTAGTCCTTGCAAAACCACTATACACTTTATCAGGATCTAAAAATTAGAATCACAATGATTTCTGTTTTAAAATGTCATCCTTACTCATTTCGTTACAAAATGTTCCATTCAAATCATGCAAGCTTTAAGACATAAAATTTTATTATTATCAATAATTATGGATAAATTGTTTATTAGGTATAAAGGAAAGTACACTGAGATAAAGTTGATACATTCAATTTTGGGATTAGTCCTTCACCTACAGCAACTTGAAAATTAGTGGAAAGAATAAAATAAAAACACAAATGACTATAAAACAAAGCATATTTTGATAAATATCTTAAAAGATATAGTCAGAATGTTACATGCATTTGAGAAACTATCATATCCAGGTATAGAAGGACCTTGAAAAAGCAGATGGAAGATTATATGGCATATTAAATATTACATAGTGATTCCAGGTACTTGAAATAATAGTTCCTTTAAAATTAAAACCAAACACTTATACCTCAGGAAATCAATTAATATTGGTGTTTACTTCCTATTCTCCTTGCTTCACATTATATGATCTTAAATTTGAGCAAGAGCTAGATGAGTAAGTTTAGCTTTTCAAAAGTAGCGCTGAGATTGCATCAATCTATTCATCATTTAGATTAACCCAAAGGACAAATTAATATATGAATGTTGGTTCTTTGGGGGCACATTAATTGCTTCAAGCTTTCATTCTAACAATACTGTTACTATTGTTACGGTACACTCATCTCTAAGACTTTTTAAATTCCTCCCCACCCTAATCACCCTCTCCCACACTACCATATCATATCCCTAAATCATGTGAACACCCTAGTAGTTTTGGAGTTTTCCAGAGGCCCATATAAATATAAATACATATATGTGTATAAAAATATAATGTACCTAGGAGGGTTGGTGTTTTACAAAATGGGATTTGTATATACTTTTCTGAATTGTGTATTTTTTCCTTCAACCATGCCTTTGGTTGTGGACATTTCTCATAAGACATGGTTTTTGGACAACCATGTCTGGTGAGAAATGCTCTAAATCTACAGGTATAGCTCTAATTCACTGTTTCTAATGGCTGCATAATATTATTTGGTGTGGATCAGGCATAATTTACTCAGTCTTTTCCAGGACTTCATGGTGCATATTTTCATGGTTGTACAATCTGGGAGTACTGTTACTTCTCTTTGTCACCAGCTCTTTTGCCAACACCAAGAATGTCACAGTAAATACCCTTTTACATGCTCAGTTGCCAACTATGATTAGCAATCAAGATGCCGGCTTTGAGATGATACCCAGTGAAGATGAGATACCATCCTCCAGAACACAGTATACATTCTAAACCAATGACAGCATGTAGCACTGTGTCCCAGTAGGTTCCGCAGGTCCAGGAACCAAGAGGTGGAACTAGGAGTGGCATTATTTCAACTGGAGGTTTTATTCTATAGGATAAATTACTAACAGAAGAATTGCTGTGTCAGATAAATGTATTTTTAATTTTATTAAAATTTTATTCTATAGGATAAATTACTAACCGAGGGACTATCACATCAAGTATATTTGTTTTTAATCTTGCTTAAAATTAGATTTAATTTAATTTAAAATTACTTTACCAAAATTCAAATGCTTGTAACAATTCACATTTTCCCCATGTATGAATGAGAATGCAATTGTCCCACATCTTCACCAGCAAATCTTTTCAATGCTGCCAGTGATATTCCATTGTTAATTTAATGTGAATTTCTATGAATATTCAGAATTTGAGCATCTTTTCATATATTTCTCACTCACTTGAATTTGCTCTCCTGTGAACTGCTTATTCATATCCTGTGCCTATTTTTCTATTAGGTTATTGTCAGTTTGCAAGACTTTTCGTTATACTTGTATATATATTTGCCCTCTGTCACATTTGGAGATGCTTTTTTCCAAATCTATAAATGTTCTTCTATCTTTGTTATAGTCCTTTTTGTTGCACATAGGTTCTTTGTTGCAGTCTTGGTTAGAAATGTTTCCCCCCAAACCCTGGACTGCATATGTCATCTCCTAAGATATTTTTTCCTAAAGTTTTTGCTTTATTTTACACATAAGTCTTTGATAAATCTGGACATTTAGTATATGGTACAAATAGGAGTCAAACTCGATTTTCTCTCAGGTGAACATCCAGGCATTTTACCATCATTTAGTAAAAATGTCCATTCTCTTTCCACTGAATGGGAATGGCAACTCTGTCACATATTACATTCTCATATATATTGAGGCCTATTTCTGGAAACTCCCTTCTGTTCTACTCATCTTTTCCAATTCCAAACAATACAATTCAATTAGAGACTTCTTTCCTAAGACTTCCCATAGCTACAATTCATTCTCTAGCCAAAGGTATCCCAAATCAGTGGGATTCTAGAAAGTAACAGTGGATACTGTAAACTCAGCCAATTGAGCGGCTGCTGTTCCCAATGTGGTATCTTTGCTAAGCTAACACACATTAAAAGGTATGCATTGATATAGCTAATGTTTTCTTTTCTATCCTAGTTCCCATTAACACTGGACAGATAAAAGTATGCATTTCAAGTCTTGTCCCAAGACAATGAATGTTCTTATAAATTCTGACACAATTTTATGTGAAAGGATATAAACTTTCTGGACATTCCTCAAAACAAAACATTGGGCCACTATATCAAAGACATCATGTTGATCAGACTTAATGATCAAGAAATGTCAAGTACATTGAAGACCTTGATAAACACCTTCCAATGGGTAGAAATAGACCCAATGATGATTCAGAGGGCTGCCACATTAAATATCTGGGGGAGGCTGGGATACCCCCTCCAAAGTAGGTCTGACATCTGGCATCTCTCACCTTTAAAAAGAAAGACCATGCCAGGTCAGCACCTTTGGATTTTGGAGGAACCATACTCCACACTTGAGAAAACTGCTCCATCTATTTACAACTGACCCAGAAGGCTGTCAACTATGAGTCTAGATTTTGGACTCTGGAGGCAGATCTCCAGCAGCCGTCGGGAATGTAGGAGAAGGAGACACACTTATGCTCCGTAGAGTCCCTCCAAGGTGAATCTTTTTTAAGTTACTCAAGCTGTCTAGTTAGTATTCCCAATCAAGTACTAAAAATTTTTGGACTTTGTGTGAGTTCACTCACATCTTCTAGGATGACAAAAATTGTCTCAGTGATGATGATCATGATGCTGACGATGACAGTGACAATGATGGCGATAACTTTCTGCAAGTCTCAGCAGCAAAATCTTATATCTCTCATTACTTCCCTGTAGTAAGCCGAATTCTAAGATGGTCCCCAGGATTCTTCCCCCTGGTGTACATGCCCTGTATGATTCCTTCCCCTTGAGTGTGAACAGGGCTCCTGAATGTGATGAGCTCATCAGTCTCATGATTACATTACCCTAGATAAGGCTCCTCACAGCATACTGGAGGAGACTCTCCTACAGCCTTGAAAAGGCAAAGTGCCATGATGTGGAAAGGTCATGTGGCAAGGAATTAGTAGTTGGCCTTTAGGAGCTAAGGACCTCCTATGTAAAACCTCAAGGAAATGAATTCTCTCAATAACAGTGAACTCAGAAAAGGACCTTAAGCCTCAGATGAAATCACAGCCCTGGCCAACACTTTGATTTCAACCTCGTAAGACCCTAAACAGAAGACTCAGCTAACCTATATCCAACCTCTTAACCCACAGAAACTATGAGATCATAAATGAGTGTCCTTTCAAGCCACTAAATCCATGGTGATAAGTTAAGAAACATAAAAAACTCTACGATCCCTTCAGCCAGGTCTCAGCTACCCTTTTTCCATAAATCCTAACTCCTCCATCACCAACACACCTGGTATTTTGTCTTGGGTCTTCCATCACATTTTTCCCCAGATAATGGATTTAACAACATCCCTTGAATAAATATTGTTGTTTCTGACACTACAAGAACATAAAAATTAAAATAACTTTAAAACTCTAGAAAGGTAAATTGCCAATATTTAAATATGGACAGGAACAAGGACGAATATTTTCAGAGAAACCCATTTTGTGTCCTTATCTGTATTTGCCCAGACATAGAATTTATTAAAGTGTTTTTCAGTTAACTCCTAAAATTTCATAATACTGGTTCCTGACCTATTTGCCCTTTATAAGAGATACATGGCTTTTCTTTTCTAAAATGAATTGTTAAGTTGCCGTTATAAAGATTCCCTTCTCTTGGGGAGAGGAATACCCTTACCTGTACAACAGGTACCAAAACAATATTGTGATAGATTATGGGAGCAAGAAGGCCATAACACTGAGTCACAGCTTGAAGCGCATAGCTGCAATCATTTAGGAAGTTGCTAAGTTCCAATGCCACTAATACTCTCTCACATTCAATCAGTCTGGCAACCTGTAAAGAAACAGGCATTGTTACTCAGATTCAACATAGGTGCTTAGCTTATGTGTCTCTAAAGAGAAGAAAGGGTAGAAAATGTGATCCTTCTGGCTAAAAATAACATGAGTTTTTGTATTTTAGAAAAATCTAAATTCAGAAACAACTCTAACTCTCCAATAATGCTACCTATAGATAGCACGATCTTAGAATTAAACTTCAGAATTTTTCATGAAACAATACAAGTACCATGACAGAAACCAGTATTTTTATCGATAAGCTAAAAAGTTGGCTATATTTTTATATTTTAAAAAATCTAGTTTTCAAAAATATAAATTATAATAACAATTAAAATATATAAAATCTCTATAATATTGCCCCCATTTGATTAACAGGTTCTCATTTCCATTTTTGATTTGAAAGAAAACGGTAAATTTTCAGTAAACCAAGCTAACCTCCTATTCTGCTTCTGCTAATTATACTTTGCTACTTAAATTTAAATGACAGTAAAATGTAACGTTAAGGTTTTCAGAGTAAATGCCACTTAAAAAGAATAGTAATCCTTTCTTACTCCTCTTTTTCCTTTCCTGGGGAAAGATTTCATTATTTCTCTCTCTCTCTCTCTCTCTATATATATATATATACATTCAAGATTATGTACAAAGAAAGTCTGAGTGGTAACCAGAAATTTCCATATAGTCAGTTTTTACTAAAATGGTAGTCTAGCATTCTGGAATTCATTGAAGTACTTGAAAATTGTCTTTGTTTTCAGACTGAATATGCTGAAAGAAGAAGCTGAAGGCAATTTAGTAGGAACAGGTTGATGACGGTTGTGAGTACTTGGGCTCTACAGGACAGTGAACTTGTCTTGGGCAAAGAATCATTTTTTTCACTTTTATATCTCCAGAAACTGGCATAGTCCCATGTAACAATGTCTTGGTTAATTAATTAATTAGTTAATGGATGGGTAGGAAATAGCAACTGTAAAAAACATAGACAGCTAAAGCCTCCATACTTAAAGAAGGAAAGAGAGAAAGAAAAGTGAACTTTGAGCAGGAATGAAAAAAAAATAATGTAGGATCATTACTAAATGCAAGAGCATTATAGAGTTGCAGATGTACATACAGCAATGTTCATAACCACACTGAGAATCTATCAATAGGAGACAGGTTACATTCCTGCCTCCATGAAGACAATATTATAATTGAAAAAAATGTGACAGATTGATATATACCAGCATGAAAATATATGCAAGATATATTATAAAAGTGTTAAAAAGGCAAGTTGCAGAATAGCAAGTAGATCATAATCCCATTTTCCTAAATAATAATAACAGATTTGTCTAGGTATATGTTCTTAGAGAAATTATATGAAAGCAAAATTGTTATATTCTTAAAGGTAATAAGATTACAATGGGTTTCACTTTATATGTTACATATTTTTGAATGTCTGAAATATATAGTATTTTTGTATACAGGGTGGAAAGAAAGAAATTGAAAAGAAGAGAAAAAGCATGAACTCCGGTCTGTGAAACTTATATGAAATATCACATAAAGTCGCATAATCAGACAATGTCCTTTCAGTCCATTCACCAAACAAGCTATGCAATCACTCAAAAAACATGACCTTAAAACATCAAGAAAATAATACAGTGAATCTGACATGTTTTTAGTCACTTTAATTCACTTACTTGTTGAGATGGGAAAATCTCATTGCCTTTAATATTATCACAGAAAAGATTTTCTTCTTTAATTTTGATGTCACTTATTACAAAAATATTTCTAAGAAAAAGGTACAATAGGATTGAAGAAGTCTCTGCCAAAATATCTGAATGTAATCTGCAATATGAAGTAAATGGCAGGTATAAATATAAAATGATTTAGCAGGTCAACTTGTCTTTTTACATTGATTTGTTTTCAGTAGCTACACAATGATCCCAAAAAAGCAACAAAAATATTTAGAATAGCTACTCTTGCACAGACAAGTTCACAACTAAGAAAATTAAACTACTGAAATATTATGTCACAGATACATAAAATTAATTAGTGGCAATTTTTTGGGGTTCTAATACATAAAGTTATTTTTTATCAAGATAACAAAATCAGTATAGATTTTCAGAAGGTTGAGAAATAGGTCCAATGTTTCAATTAATGCATTTCCTGAAAATGAGGGTCATTTATAGCAAGCTCAGCCTTGGTTAAAAAGAGAATCTTAATAACTCTTAGATTATTTCTAATTATCTTTTCTAAATTGCGGTTGACAGAGCCAACCATTGGCAAAGCTGTGAAATCTGCAAAGTCTTCCTTGTGTCCAGTATTCCACCCCTTGCCCTTAGCCTTCCTTGGTGGCAAACCCTCCCTCTTAAGCTTCGGGCTTAACTACTCGCTATACCCCCATCCCTATAAAACAGGAAAGTGCTGATATCATTAATTCACACTGGAAGATGATCCCTTTCACCACCATGTTAAACTTTAAAATTATCTTTACCAGGAAGATTTTAGGTCTCCCATGATTGCAACTCATACTAAACTTGCTCTTTGACCTTCAGCACCTTGACACGTGCAATTAGTCCAAGTTGTCACCCCCTGGCTCCATTTCCTTCTCTAACCAACTCGGACGCTGGTCAGTCTTTTCAATAATAATCTTTCTAGCAGGTTAGGTTCTGTCACCTCTTTATTTTGTGCAATAATCAATTTGCCTGACCTTGCATAGATGTCACTGTCCAATTTTTCTATCTCTCTGACAACGATCACTTACTGATTCTGCTCACTCATTCTTTCTTTCATTCATGCTAGCAATTGCTGAATGCCTACTATGTACAAGACACTGTTCTAGACCCTCGGGTATAAAGATGAATCAAATGGGGTCTTTAACACCAAGGAGCTGGGCTTCAGTACAAATTCATGTTCAATTACATCAACTGAGTCATTACTGCATCTCAACAACACTTCCATTTATCCCTGATATCTCCTTGTTGACATTCCCCACAAAAAAAATATTTCTAAATCCTTTGTTTTTTCCACCCATGAGCTCTTATGTCCACCAGGCTCTACCACCATAGTGTTATCATCACCTACATTTTCTTCTTCAGTGTCCCCCTCTCTACTGGCTGCCTTCTCTCCACACTCCACAATTCTTTCCTTCAGCCTGCCTCCCCACTAAGCTTCTGCCTGCTCTCCTCCTCTTTACCACCAAACTTCACATGAGTAGTCTTTGCTTGTTCGGATGTTTCATTTTCTTTTTTTCCTTAGCCAATTGCAAAATGGTTTCTGGCCTATCATGCTACAAAAGTGGCTCTCTGGAATTCACCAATGGCCTCCTAATTGCCAACTCTTCTTCATTTGTGTTCTACTCAACCCTCTCTGTGGCATTTTATTGAGCAGCTGCTCTGCCTGACCTGGCGCTGATATTTAATATTGCTGGTCAGTCCCTCTTTGGTGATACTTTCACTTTCTCTAGCAATGCACTTTCTTGGACTTTGATTTTCTGGACAGCTTCTTTTCAATATCTTTCCTTGGTTCCATCTTCTACTTCTGCTCCCTAAATATTAAGCAATGCCTAGGGTTCAATTCTCGCCTTCTGTCTTTTCTGTTAAACAGTCGTTTCCTGGGAGATACCATTCATTTTCATGACATTGATGATGAATTCAATGGACAATTTGCCTTGATGCTCTCTTGAGTGTCAGTACTAGGTAAATAAACCTACTAGCATCTCATATTCACAAAGGCGTCCTGATGGAAAACCAAACTCAAAATATTCTAAATCAAATTAATTATCTTCCTCCAAGAACTTGTTCTACCTCTCATATCCCCTTAGTAAATGTCACAGACTTCCCAGTCAGTTAACAGTAGAAATCCCAGTCACTTTTCACTTTCTCTCTTATCCCCACAAGTCACATAATATCTAAGTCCTGTCTCTTCCTCCTCTAAAATGCCTCTGAAATCCATCCCCCCATAGCACATAGCATCCTTGTACATAGAAAATGCTAAGTCTGCATTTGTTTAATTGAATGGAATTATCAATGCCTTGCCTGAATCAATATTTGCATATTTAAGCTCATTATTTTTGACTGAGGAATGAAGGGTTTTGTCTCCTTATTTTAAAACTTTCAGGCATTAACAGCCAGGTGAGGGAGATTCTTGTTGCTTTTGAATTTGTTACTGAGACCGACTGAAATTACACTAAAGCTCATTTCTGAGCCTGCTTCAAAACTTTGTTCTTTTAGGAAAAATGGCAGTGAAGACAAATGATAGTAATTCTATATGGCTTCTACTGGCCTATTTGCAGTTGCCAATGGTGTAATCCTGGGAGCCTCTTCTAGCAAAGGAAAAGCCTTCTTAACCTAACAGTCAACCTGTCAGACCATAACCTTAACCCCAATTTGACCTTTCTCTGGTACAAAAGTTTCCAATGCATATTTGTGTTTTAGGATATAACTGGTATTACTTTGGTTTGTAGTTGGTATTTTTATTTCATAACCTTCAACCTTAGGCCTCCAGTGTTTTTGCTGACTCTAGAAAGAAAGTTTCTCGGCCAGGCATGGTGGCTTATGCCTGTAATCTCGGCACTTTGGGAGGCTGAGGTGGGCAGATCACTTGAGGCCAGGAGTTTGAGACCAGCCTGGCCAACATGGCAAAACCCCATCTCTACTAAAAACACAAAAATTAGTAGGGCGTGGTGGTGCATATCTGTAATCCCAGCTACTCGGGAGGCTGAGGCATGAGAATCTCCTCAGCCCAGGAGGCGGAGGTTGCAGTGAGCCAAGATCATGCCACTGCACTCCAGCCTGGGCAACAGAGTGAGTGAGTATTAAAAAAAAAAAAAAAGAAAGAAAGTTTCTAACAAGCACATGAGACCTTGCAATGTATACTTTTATTACAATAGTTATTAGAAATCATTTTATATGAACTATCTGAACATGATATAAAAAATAATCCCAGGCTTCACATCCAGCATCTATATTTTGAATAAGCAAATTAATATTTTAGAAGAATATTTCTAATTACCTTCTCTGTGTAATAGTAACTATATTGCTTAAACAAATAACAGATTGTTCATCCTGAAGTGGCGAAGCAACAAAATAATCCCAAACTGGTGAGAAAACTTTCTTAGCCAATTCATAGTTACCAACTTGATAGGCAACCTATAACAAAAAGCACACATTTATGTAATAGTTTTATTTGTGAATGAATGTTTTAAACAATAATTCTTAAAATGTACAATATATGACAGCATTTTATAAGGTGCGATCACACACTCATTTCAGATACAATTATTCACATTTGCTGTTCTATTCTATAGTACCATAGTCAGGTAATGGCCACTGGCAAGGGAGACAGACACATTTTTGAAAACTCTTTTATTTCTAAATTGCATGGAAATTTGAAACTCTGTAAGGATGTTTCAAATCCTCATAAGCAAAACAAAGATCACATCTGAGCCAAATTAATTTCATTTCCATCTATCTCAGCAGTGCACTCCATTTATTACAGATACTGTTATAATGAACAATCTGTTCCAAGAGAAACAATCAGATTTCCCAAGCCCAATATATGAAAAATACTTTATTCTTTTCTGGTTCTGACTGACACTTTCAGAGCTTTGTGCAACAAAAAGTTCATGAGCTGAAAAGAGTATGGAATAAAACAGAGAAATTTCCCAAGAAGACAATATATGTTTTAGGTTTAACAAATTTAACTTTGGACAAAATAAATAATTTTACTTGTGAAGCCTGGAAGCTCAAAGAAAAAAACTGACTTACTTATTTTTATGGTAGAATATATTTCTTTAAAGACGTTCCTAAAAAGCACTCCATTTAAATATGTAAGTAACAATACAAAATCTCAGCAAATGAGTTCTACACTGCTTCAAATCCTTTATGGAAACAGCTAAGGTATAAAGTAGAAATGCATTCATGGAATGAAGTGAATGACAAGTTACTAGAATATTCTCCACTCCAGGGAATAACTTAGAGGGCCAGAATTTTTCAAATCTGCCAATGAATACTCATGATCTCCAACCAGTAAGCTTTTATGAAGTTTCTAGTCTGTGTTAGGCACTGTAGAGATAGACTCTTCAAAGTTTAGATAGAGATGGTATCCGACTCTATGAAACTGGAATTAGGTTAAAGGCATAAAACCCATAACATCACAGAAAAACTACAAAGAATAACATAATTGCAGAGGCTTTAGAAAAGGAGATATGAAGACTTCAAGGAAAACGCAGGGCTTGAGTTGAACCCTAAGGCAGAGATAAGATTCCGATTGGCACAGTTAAAACAGAATCTGCAAAAGGTCCAGTAATGGAAATGACTCTAAAATACATTTAGGAGAGACTGGAGAGGCAGGTCAGAGTTTGGGGGGAAAAAAAAAAAAAAAAAAGGTAGACATTTCATCCCTGCAAGGTCTGAGACGAAAAAAAAATGAAAAAAAAAAAAACCAAAAAAAACAAGTGGGTAATATGATTGGACAAGTTCAAGTGGGACATGATTTCAGAAGGCCTTGAAAATCAGGTGGAAGAATTTAAAGCTGTCAAGTACTGGACTAAGCACTTTATGTGCATTGCTGTATTTATTCTTCATCAAAGTTCTACAAAGTGAGCTCTATTGCCATCCCTATTTGTGAATGAGGAAACTAGAACATTGAAAAGTAGAATAATTTGTACAGAGCCTGACAGTCAGTAAAAATAGTGAGGCCAAGTCTTAGTGTGGTAAATGAGTCGCTTTTTTGGGCTACATTAATCAAATGACACAGCTGCACTAAGTGGTCACTGAAATATAAATATATATAATTAAAATATATAATTATTAAGGTTTATCAAGGAAAGCAATAATAGATGATGTGTAAGAGTGTTGGTGAAACTATAATTAACTGTTCTTTTCTTGTAAAAAGTATCCTTTTTAAAATAATGTTATCTGTTCAATCAGTTAACATTGCAAAACAAGAAAAGATACCGTGATAAAACTAAGGTTTATAAAATCATGAGGTTTTGTGAGGTTTCTTTAACAGAGGAGTGCCACGATATAAGCATGTTCAAAAATGGTTAATCTGGTCCTGGTAGTGATGTGCAGAACAGATTTTAGAGGGGCTGAATTAAAATGAGAAAGAAGCACTAAAAGACGAATGAAATAATGAAGTACAGTAGGTACCTCCTCTTTGATGCCTGACCTTGGCTTGACTTCCAGAACTCCACTCTTGGTTTTCCTTTTACTTCTTTTCCTCGACCTCTTTATATTGGTATGCCCCAGGGTTCACTCTTTGAACTGCTCCTCTTTTCTGTCTACCCTCATTTCTTGTTGATACCACTTAGTCCCATAGTTTTATCACCCTCAAATCCCTCTCCTGCCCAGACCCCTTCCCCAAATTCCAGATTCATACATCTAAATGACTACTCAACAATTCTCTCCATATACACTAAACACCTTACCTCAACATGCCTCGAACTGAACTGATCTCCCACTCCCCCGAACCTCCACCACCCACAGCCTTCCCCAACTCAGTTGATGTCAACTCTGCCCTTTCAATTGGTCAGATAATACCTTAGGGTCATCTTTTATTTTTCTCTTTATGGACTCCTGTTAGCTCCTCCTTCAAAACATGTCCAGACACTGACTACTTCTCACCACATCAACTACTACCACACTGGCCAAGCCACCTTCACCTCTCACTGGGTTACAGTAGTGGATAGTGTCGCCACTCTACCCACTTATGGTCTATTTTCAATGTAGCAGCCAGGGTGAACCTTTAAAAACAGGAGTCACATTACATCATACCACTACTCCAAACTGCCCAATCGCTGTCCACTTCACTCAAGTCAAAAGCCAAAGTCCCTGTAATGCCCTGGAAGTCTTTTCATGATCTGCTCTCCATCTACCCAGTCACCTCTTAGCTCTTTGACCTCTCCTTTTACTCTCCATGGGTCCCTCTGCTCCAGCCACACAAGCCTCCTGCTGTTTATCAAGCATACCAGTTACACTTCTGAAAACCTTAGGGCTTTTGCTCTAGCTGTTCCTTCTGCAAATGCTCTTCTCCCAGAGAGCCATTCCCTCATCTCCTTCAAGTCTCTGCTTAAATCTCACCTTCCTTGATCACCCTCTTTAGTATTGTAATCTACCTTCCATTCACCCACTTCACATTTCTAATTCGTTTTACATACTCCACTTGGTTTTTCCATAGCATTCATTATCTTCTGAAATACTAGATAATTCACTTGTTTACTGTGGTCATTGTTTATTACCTGTCTCCTACCATGGCATTCTGTTCATGTTGCTTGGAACAGCAGTTCTCAAAGCATGGTCCCTGGGCCATCAGTGTCACCCAGGAACTTGTTAGAAATGCAAATTCCCAGACCCAAACTCAGGTCTAGTGAATCATAAACTCTGGCAGTGGGACCCAGCAATCTACTTAACCAGTACTCCAAGTCATTCCTATGTGCACTTAAGTTTTAGAGTCACTAACCTGGGCAACGCCTGGCACAGAGTAAGCCCTCAGATAATGTGTCAAATTAATTTAAAAATCCTCTTTTCCTGATAATATCCCTCTACCCACAGAGAAGGACACCCAGCAGTTGTACTAGACTATAACAGGGTTGACAGGGCCAGAGTGAGTGCCTGACTCAAGCTGGGTGTTTTAGAGACTCCCCTGCAAAGCAAGATGGGCCCCCATCCAAAGTTTGGTTCTGATGTTAAGATTGATGACACTCCACACAGCAGGAAAATTTGAGAGAAAGTATATTACTTATACAAGGGACTTCTTGGGAAAGCTTGACAGGCACAAGCCTGTCTGGACTGGCTTGGGCAAAGCAGAGGGAGAAAGCAGGTTGGGCCTTCATAGAAGTTGAGAGATAGGACTGGGGAAAGTCCATGCTGACTAGAAGGTTTAAATTTCCTGCTGCCACAAAATGAGAAGGTGAGCTCATAGGCCTTCTTATCATCCTGCCTAGATGTGGGGCCAAAGGCAAAAAGAAGGGCAAGGTTTAAAAACAAGTCATGGCCAGGTGCTGTGACTCATGCCTGTAATCCTAGCATTTTGGGAGGCCAATGTGGGCAGATCACCTGAGGTCAGGAGTTCGAGACCAGCCTTAGGTCTGGGAAGTGGGGGAATGGAAGATAGGTTACAACATTAAATAGGGTGATCAAGGAAGGTGAGATTTAAGCAGAAACTTAAAGAAGATGATGGAATGGCTCTCTGGGGTAAGAGCATTTGCAGAAGGAACAGCTAGAGCAAAAGCCCTAAGGTTTTCAACCAACATGATGAAATCTATCTCTTCTAAAAATACAAAAATTAGCCAGGTGTGGTGGCACATGCCTGTAATCCCAGCTACAAAGGAGGCTGAGGCAGAACTGCTTGACCTCGGGAGGCGGAGGTTGCAGTGAGCCACAATCGCACCACCGCACTCCAGCCTGGGCAACAGAGTGAGACTCCATCTCAAAGAAAAATAAATAAATAAATAATAAAAATAAGTCAATAAAAAATAAAAACAAGTCACAAGTCAGCTGTCAAACACCAAAAATGAGATCAGGGCATTCCAGCCTTGGCAACAGAGTAAGACCATCTCAAAAAAAAAAAAAAAGGAGAGATCAGACTCTTTATTATGCTAGTTGGGCCAATTACATTCTCTTTCCCAGGAATTTGGAGCCACAATTAGAGGCCAGTCAGCTGATCTCCGTTTATAGCTGAAATTGAGTAATATATAAAAACTCAGGAAATGCCATCTTTCCTCCAAAGATGGAGAAGTAATGAAAGCCAATGTTTAGAGAAAAATACAAGAAAGCAGACATATAGGGAGAACCAGAAGTATGAGACCTAGAGCTGCCTGGACTTTGCTGCATTCCCAGGGCCTAGCTGTATTACCCAAGCTGAGCTGGTTCCATGACTTGCAATCAGGGTTTTAACTGAAACCATAAGTCAGAATTATCTAAACAAGTATTACTGTCATCGTAATGACATTGATTTAAAAAAAAAAAAAAACATATTTCAAAGGATGAAGTGATGACATCTAGCATATAACCTGGCACAAGATAAACATTGACTAAATGATTCATCCATAAATAGATGAGTGGAAAGAGTGGTAATATTCAGATAGAGGATGAGAGGGAAAAGAAGAGTTAAAACTCTTTTTGTTGTTGTTGTTGTTGTTGTTTTCAAGACAGGGTCTCGCTCTGTCACCCAGGGTGAAATGCAGTGGCATGATCTTGGCTCACTGCAACCTCCACCTCCTGGGCCCAAGTAATCCTCCTGCCTCAGCCTCCTAAGTAGCTGGGATTACAGGTGCATGCCACCACGTCTGGCTAATTTTCGTATTTTTAATAGAGACAGGGTTTCACCATGTTGCCCAGGCTGGTCTTGAACTCCTGAGCTCAAGCAATCTGCCTCCCTCAGCTTCCCGACGTGCTGGGATTACAGGCGTGAGCCACCATGCTGAGCCTTTTTTTTTATTTGAATAAAAAATAAAATAGACAAAAGACAAATCATTATTAATAAAAGGGGTTTTGATTAATAATGGGTTTTAATGAATTCACATACAAAGTGGGAGTCGTGTGAACTTCATTTTCCCTTCACCTGCCACCATCGTGATTGCTGACAAAGCATTCATGTTCCAACATCAAACTCTACTGCCAACACAGATCATGAGGACCTGCTGATTAACACCAACACAGGGAGAGAATAAAAAGGAAATTGAGAGAGGAAGAGGTAAAGACAGTGAAGGGAGGGAAGAGGGTTAAAGAGAAGAGGAGCCCTCTAAGGAGCAGAGGGTCACTTAACAGATTGGAGAGATGCAGGCTCTAGAAGACTTGGTACATGTTAGGTGTCCAATATGTGACTTCCTGGAACCTGGACAGAGCAGTCAAAAGGCATGAGCCAAGTGTCAGGCTTGACATCTGCTACCTGAGCAACCTTGGGTACATTTCTTAACCTCCCTGAGATACCCTTTTAGGGATACAGTGGGTTTGGCAGAGGAAGGATTAAATTAATCTGTTCCCTCAACTATAAAATAAAAGTAATCATACCACCTCCTGGAGTTATTATAATAAGTGGAATAATAAATTTTAAGTGCCTGGTATACAGTAGTTTTTCAATAAATGATATTCCCCCTTTCCTTATCTCAGTAAGCCATTGTGCCCACTCACTACTTGATTTAGTAGTTGAACAATTCACTAGAATATGGTGTTTTGTCTTACATCCATTTTACAGATAGGAAAATTGAGACCAAACAATTTGCCTAAAATCAGTCTCCAAGGTCAAGATCAGAATCCTGCTCACAGATTTCTACTCTTCTACATTTATATCATATTATCTAGTCATTTTCTACTTAACGAGGAGGAATAAAAAGAAATAGTCTAAAAAGAAGAGAAAATAGACACAGAAAATATATAATTCAAAAAGTTTCCTCAAAAAAAATTTCCAGATACACTAAACTAATAGCCTCCCACATTTAGGGAAAGCCTAGTGCAGATTCACTTGATTGTATTAATATTTACAGAATAATGCTGAGTAAAAAGTACAACCTAAAGTCCCAAAAGCCAAATTAATCACAGGCACTTAGTGGAATGTCTCCATGCTTTGCTATCAAATATTTATAATACTATGTTTTAAAGAAAAAGAACTGTCCTGAAACTAGAAACTAGCCACTCTCGTGAAAATTAGATTGCACTTACAAAATAGAGGTACATTAACTTGCTGAAACTTAAAAACTTACACTTAAGTTGTAAATTAAGGAGGTTTAATAAGTGAGAAAGCTTTGCTTTAGCCACTTAACATTATAAGACAGAATACGCATAAACAATCATAAATAAACTACAGAACTGCAAATATAGTGTCAGTAAAGAAACACAGGTCATTACTTCATGACACTTCTCATTATCCCAGCAGTATAGCTCTGACTTAGTTTTATTAAGTTTCAATGAAAGTTCTGCCAAATTAAGCTCAAGAGTCAAACCACTCCCTGGAGAAAAATTAGGCCTTGATGAAATATTCAGTTCCTCACAATAACTCCATCATTGCAAATTAGGGAATATATTAGATTCCAAAGATATCAAAACATCAGAAAACCATGAGCCAGTATGACACGCTAAACCAATACTAGACAAATCCTAGTAATTCTCTCAATTTAATTTTCTTTGAAAAATATGACATAAAATGCCACTAAGATCTTAGCTTATAATACTAATCAACTATTAAAAGAAAAATAGAATAGAAATATGACAAAATTTAGAAAAGCCATCAGCCTACAGCCAACAATAGGCTTAAAATTAGATACTTGAGACCTAGGTCAATGAGTCACTCTTCCTAGCATCCTCTTCACTGGTGACATGTTTTAAGTCAGGCAACAACTACTTTGACAAAAAACATTAATTCATGAGCATATCCCTAACTAAAAACAATACTATTTATTCAGTGCCTACTGTGCAAGAAGTGCTACCATTAAATATTTGCCAGGCATAATTCCATTTAATACTCATTATACTTCTGGGAAGTAGCTACTACTGCTACTCCTGCTTCACAGATGAAAATTACTTGTCCACTATCACATGGCTAGTGTGAAGAGCTGGAATTTGAACTCAGGTCTCTCTGCCTCTACTGATCCAGAAGTTTTACTTTTATAAATTTACCCTAAGAAAGTAATCATGGATGTAGGTAAAGATTTACTAACAAAGTTGAGCATCATAGCTTTGTTTATAACAGCAAAAGACTGGAAAGTATCTAGATGTTTAATTAGCAAACTATTATATATCCATAAGATTCAATACCATGGAACCATTAAAAATTATGTTTTGGAAGAATACTTAATGGAATAGAGAAATGTCAATTATATGTTAAGTGAAAAATCAGGATGTAAAATAATATGTATACTATGATTTAAATTATACATTGTACATAAATTCATATACACATGTGTGCGTATATATATACTCATCAGCTAGATAAATAGATAGGCAGATAGATACACAAAAAATAAAAGGATATCTCTGGAATAAGGTTTCTCAATCTTGACACCACTGATATTTTATGCTGGATAATTATTTGCTATGGGGGCTATCCTGTACATCGCAGGGTGTTTATCAGCCTCCCTGGCCTCTACTCACTAGATGCCACTAGCACCTCTCTAGTTTGTGACAACTGAAAATTTCTCCAGACATTGACAAAATTGCCCCAGGGGAAGAACTCTGCTACTCTGAATGATAGGATAACAGATAACATTTATTTTCCTCTTTATGCATTTCAGTATTTTCCAGCATTTCTAAAATTAATATATATGTGTTACATTTGTAATCCAGGGAAAAAAATGTTATTGTCAAAAAGCAAATTTACTAAGAAGAGAAGGAATGATTCATATTTTATGAGACAAAACTGTAGCAATGGAAAATATGTGTTATAGGAGCTGTAGAATATCTGCTGTGATTTTTATTTCTATCAGAAATTACTTCATAACGGCTTAATGGAAAAAGACATAGTGGAAAAAATAGCAGAAATCTCTTCTACCTGTGTCAGGAACATCCGAGCAGTAATAGTAGAAAGAGGTGGATAAACCAGAATTGGTTTAGTTGTCTCCCCAATAGCACCACCGACAAGCTTTCCACTGCTAGAATAGGCAGCAACTGCAAATACATACTTTTCATTGGTTTCCAAACCTTTCACTTCAAAAATGCTTTTACCATCAGCTGGTATCTATTAAGAAAAATATATTTCAAGTTATACATGGAAAATTAAAATAACATGACTTTTAAAATACAATTAAGTAAACCTTCTATTTAAATAAAAAAACCTTTCTTTCACTGTTGGATTTTAGTTATGATTCAAGTGGAACTTAGAGAGATTCACCAAAACAATGACTTCATTAAAAAATGTAATTATCATTAATAAGGCTTCAGTAAGATTTCCTGACATTTAATTTGACGTACTGCTTCTCCTGAATTTGGGAGATGATTATTGTTTAGCCGTACTTTTCCGTAACTTCCTTCTGCTTTGCAACCCAAAATGCAGTACCAGGAGACCTGCCGAGGAGAAAAATGAGCCTGTTTAAAAGGCATTCTTTTACATCAATGTAGCAAAAAAATACTTTTCTAAATAAGAATGTAATGATTCAAGTTTTAAAACATGAAATCAAAGTTTACAAATATACTTAGGTTTAATCTTTAAAGAGTACAAGTAACCTTAGCTAGTTTACTGAGACAAGACTAAAATATTATTCATTATTAATTATTTTAACCACCATTAATTGAACAGTTCCTACTGCTAAGTACTGTTAGGAAATTTACAGATATTTTCTAATTTGCACAACTCTATGATATGGGATTACTATTATCATTTTGCTTCACAGGAAATGGAGATGCAGAGATATTAAATAACTCTGCCCAAGATCAGACAGAGAGTGGCAGGGGTTGACTCCTAAAATGACTTAGTCTTGATGTTAAAGAAAAAAAAAAAAAGATTAATACTCAAATGAATTTCACATTTTACATGACAACGTATGACCAAAAAAAGCAAGTGGAAAGAGAGGCAAGATACTAAAATATAGTATTTTAAATAGAATATTAAAAAATACATATGAAAAAGCCTGGAAGAAAACACCCCTAAATAAGAGTAGCAGTAGGATTTGGATGATAAAATGGTAAGATAACAGGTAGGTAATGGGTCCATTTTTTTCTCCAATTTATAGATTTTCTGAAACATGATATTACTTTGATAATTTTTATATTTAGTTTAATTTTATACTTTAAATATAAACATTAGACATAAATCAAACACAAAATATAAATCCCACAGAAACAACTAAACTTAACCTTGATTAAATAGTTAGACAATGATCCTTTTGCCGAGGTGTCAAGATAATGAAGATTCATTATTGGAATGAACTATTCTCCCCATAGAGAAAAAGGGAGCTAGGTGACACCTGACGGGGTAGTATTATGAACGAGCCATACTGCTGGGGGTTGTAGGGGTGATGGCTGTGTCATTACCTTCTTCCCAGAGGCAACTCCTAAACTACAAGGCAAGCTGGAAAGAAGGAAAAATACAATTGTCTCTAAAAAAAATACAATTGTCTCTAAATACAAGTACCTCTTACAGTTTGTGCCTGCTACTCCTTCCTCCAGGTCAACAGAAAAATACTAACCATGTCCAATTGACACAAGTTGTTCTCAACACTGACTGTGCTCCAGAATCCTTATTTAAAATACAAATTTGTACAGAATCAACCATTTTTGTAAATTACAGATACCCAAGCCTATCTAGCTTCAATGAATTAGAATTTCTGATGCAAGTTTCTGAATCTTTGTATTTTCAAAGAATATTTCTCAGGTGATTGTGATATGCACAACTGATTAAAAAGCGCTAGTCAAAGGCAGAACAGGACAAAGAGAACACAGAAAGAACCTGAAGCTGGAGGGTAGGGTAAAAAATAATAATAATAAGATGAATCTCAGAAAAAAAAAATGCAAAACTAACTTCCTTTGATTTCCCATGCAAAAAGATACTATTTTTCAAAGAAGAAAAAAGGCAGAAAGACTATGTTCTATGACTTACATCATTATTGCTCCAAGTTCTATTATATAAAACAGAATTTGGAGGGTAAAATTCTCTCTAAAAGCATTTTTACAAGCAGGCTTTATGTTTTTATTTTGTTCCACAGATGAAGACATTAGTTTGTGTAACTCTAAGAAACAATGTGTAATTAGAATCTACATAAGGGTAGAGACATCATGAACAAATCAGCAATAACTTTAGAAGAGTTTATATGTAATATAAATAACATTAGCATTTTCAACTACAAAAGTAGATTTTAATGAAATAAACGCCTCAACAAGAGATTTTGAGAAAACAAAAGATGGCTGAAGCCTCAAACCAGAAAACTTCTTTAAGCCCATAGCACCATCTAGTGCTGATGAGAAGATAACAGATGGTGATAATTTCCTGGAACTCTAAATGTACATAATACACATAAACTTCCTATAATGTGCTCATTGATGAGTCCTAAAACTACAGACCAAATATGAGACTCTTACATCTTCCTACTTCCAAGAATTATGAAATGAAATAAGCTAATCATTAAATTGAAGTACATAAAGAATAAGATTTTGTTTAAAGAAATACAAATATTTGAATAAAAGCAAATAAAAACTCTTAGTAAAGCATGTGGTCTTAGTTCTGTACTAATGTTCCAAAATCAGTGAAGCTCTATTCTTAAACAGATTCCAAAAATCCAAAGTTTAACTTTAAAACCACTATCAATAGCAATAATCCATCTATCATAGCATAGTTAGGTATAAGATGAATGTCACTTCTATTCCCCTCCTCTCCCAATTATAAAGCACTATGAAGGTGGTTATCAGTTCTCACTGATGTCCATTTGCTATTCATCTGAAGCTCCTCAAAGTATGCAAGCACATTTAATCCATATTTACCTTTATACCTCAATTACCTCGCACAGAGCTTGACAACTATAGGCACTCAATAAATGTTCATTGGACAGAATCCACAAAAAATATCACCAAATAATGTAATCACAGTCCATCACTTGATTACTATTTTTTTTTTTTTAGATGGTGTTTCGTTCTGTCTCCCAGGCTGGAATGTGGTGGCGTGATCTCAGCTCATTGCAACCTCCACCTCCCAGGTTCAAGCAGTTCTCCTGCCTCAGACTCCTGAGTAGCTGGGATTACAGGTGCCCACCAAAACGCCCAGCTAACTTTTCGTATTTTTAGTAGGGACAGGGTTTCACCATGTTGGCCAGGATGGTCTCAAACCCCTGGCCTCAGGTAATCTGCCTGCCTCAGCCTCCCAAAGTACTGGGATTACAGGCTTGAGCCACCGCACTCAGCCCATTACTTGTTTTGCGTAAGCTTTACTACTTACATATAATACAATTAAGTGGAAAGATATCAGTTAATATGCCAAGAATATTATACATTATCTCATTTAATTTTCACAGTAAACACACTTTACAAATGAAAAAAGTAAAACCCTCAGAAAATGTATTTAGCTTTCCTAAGGTCAGACTTCCAGGAAAGGCTGGAGCTAGAATTACAAACCTAAATCTGTCTGACTCCAAAGCCTGTGTTCTCTCTACTATACCAAGTTGACAAAATTTCAAGCAGAATATCCTAAAGAGAATCAAAGATAAAACTTTATTTTTATGTAACATCAAAGAGCATGTTGTTGATCATCCCAAAGAGGAAAGTGTAGTTTGTAAAACATAAATTAGAACCAAATTCTTGTGAAGAAACTTAATCTCAACTTTTAGTCACATATAGGCCAAGTTCTGAGGTATGAGGGATGGGAGAAAAAGTTCATCCTCCAATAAATGCACAAAGATGTATGGTTTATAATGCAGTTGGAGTTGTCCTTTGTTTGTGTTGAAAGAATCTACAGTTCCTTGGAAGGACTTTGGGCAGAACCTCTAGACTCATCACCTCCAAATTTCCACACTCTGTGGCCTCATATCCATCATTGACTCTGAAGTAACTTCTACCCTCTTCAAATGTCTGATTCCACTTCAAGTGAGACTTCCATCTTGAGCACACGAGGATGTCAGCATATGGTGTGTCATGGTGACAAGGATACTTACAAGGAGGTATTTCTCTACTGTTTCTCCTAACAATATATTTGGGTATAGCAATGCAATATAAAGCATATCACAAATATAACAGCATAAGGGGCAATATGTCATGAAGAAACTAAGTATAGATAAGACATTGGAGTATTAATCCAGTGTTCAGTGCTTATGAATAAGACTATTCAGCTCCTAAAAGCAATCAAAGTATGAATCGTGGTAGTCATAAAAGTACTTATGTTGCTTTGCATGAGGCAAAAATTATACTGGACACCATACCTTAACCTCTGAAGTAAATGGAGCAGGTTTGAGTGTCACAGAACAATGAGTTCGAGACAGCAGGATAGGTGGAGGAGGGACTCTGCTTTTCTTTCTTTTTGAACTTTCCAAATATTTCTGATAGGAATATAGGGCATTTTGTTCAGCTTCAATCCTTTCAATTAAAGAACATGCTTCCTATAATGAAATATGAAAATAGAAAAATACATGTCAAGAGCTTGAACTTTATTTACATTTATAGAATTCTAGTGATGTTAAACAATGTTATCTTTTTATATGCAGTTTTTCAAGCCTCAGAGGCTCAAATATATACATATATATTTCAACTATTTAATTAGATTTTGCAAAAGTAAAAGATGCCTACCAAATAAGGTTAATCATGATCACCAATGGCATTATATTTATATATCTTATATGTTTATCATTATTATCATACATGAATATGAGACATTACATTTCTAAATTGAACCTTCTGAATATCTACCATCATATTTCATTTTCCCTAAATGGTTCATACCACAATCATCTGCATTTATGCTGATGAATTACACACCTACCCTAATTCAGCTAAAGTGTGACTCTCAAATAATAAGAATATTGGTATATGTGGTTTATGAAATAAATATTATTGAGAGTTTCTTTCTATCAGCAAGAAGAAATAAAATAGAAAAAATACATTCCATGAGGCTGACGGAAAGGCATCCACTTTTTAAAAAGGTTATGCACAGAGAGATGACACATAAAACAAAAGAGAAATATAAAAATCAGACCTAAATAACATTTCAAAAGTAGGACTAAATACATAAGCAATAATAATAATACATGTAAATGGATTACACTTCCTTTTAAATTAAATTAAGAGGCAAAGACTCAAACTGAGCGCTAAGTAAAAACCCATGTAATGATTAAAATTAAAGTGTTGATAAAGAAAGAATAGTCTTTTCAACAAATGCTGCTGGGACAATTGAACACTATATGCAAAAGAATAAAGTTCAACTCCTACTTCACACCATAGACAAATATCAACTTAAAATGAAGTATACATTCAGATGAAAGAGCTAAGATTATAAAACTCTTAGAAGAAAATATATGACCAGATCTTTGTGACCTTGAGTTACGCAACGGTGTTTGGAGGATTCAATACAATGATGCATTTAAAATGCTTAGTATTTGGAACCGAGTAAGCAGTCAATAAGTGTTAGACATTATGATTATGATTACTACTATTCCTCCTCTTTCTTTCACTTTAAGCACTCTGGAACATTCTGTTTTGCCATATCAGAACTATTATTATTATTACTCTTTCATTTTAAGTGTTCTGGAACACCAAAAGCACACTGACAAAGGAAAAAGTAGATAAGGTAGACTTCATCAAAATCAAAAACATTTGTGTTTCAAAGGATACCATCAAGAAAGTGAAAAGACAGCCTACAGAATGGGAGAAAATGCTTTCAAATCATGTATCTGATAAAAGACTTGTATTCAGCACTTATATGCACTGTTATAACTGAGAATTGTTATAACTCAATAATAAAAAGGGAAATAACTCCTTTAAAATATAGGCAAAGAATCTGAATACACATTTCTCCAGAAAAGACACAAATAGCCAATAAGCACATGAAAAGATGTTCAAAGTCATTAGTCATTAGGGATGAAAATACAAAATCAGCAAACTGACTCAAAAAGCAGGAACCTAAATACAGAAATAATAATGTTCAAAGAAACTGGAAATGTTATTCAAAAATTGTTTCATATAAAAGTGTCAGGCTCAAATGAGTTCATAAACAAAATACTTTAAATCTCAAAGAACTGATCATTCCTATGCCATTTTAAATGTTTCCAAATACAGAGAGAAACAGATATCCTCTCAAATAATGTTACAAAACTATTTTAACTTCAATAACAGTCTGAAAAATGACTACACATAAAAACACAGACCAGTCATTTCACAAATACAAATGCAAACATCTTAAATAAAATACATAAAACACTAATACATTTCCTCTAACAATATACTAACAAAATAATGAACTGTAATAATATTGTCTTTTTCCCAGGAATGCAAGGACAGTTTAATATTAGGAAGTATATAAATATAATTTAATATATCCATAAATTAAATGAGAAAAAACATGATCATAGTGCTCAATGGCCAAAAAGACATTTCAAACATTTTTTAACATTCATTACAGATTTTTTTAAAGTCAATAAATTAGGAAAACTTTTTTTAGCATTATTTTAAAGTATTAATTTTAGCCAATAACCAAAATATTACTAGTACAAAATAGCCCTCTTAGTGCTAAGAGTGAAGCACTAATAGAATTATCAATAAAAGCCAGAAAGAATGCCACTATTCTATTTTATTCTGGAAGTTCTAGTAAATTCAACAAACATAAGAGAAGAGATCCTGGAAATGAAAAGACAATATGTCAGTCTACCAAATTTCAAATGTATTTCACTCTGACAGAAAAAATCTGTGCTGTTTCTCCTACAGAAGACATGTTGAGGTTGAAGTTTCCAATTAGAAACCTGAGCCTCAAGCTCAAAAGAGAAGGTAAAAAACTGGAGACAGGATCTGAGTATGCGTTGGAGTCATATTTAAAGCTGAGTGAGGACACCAGCTCCCTGTAGAAGCAGAGATTATAAAACTGCAGCATCACATATTTTTTTTCTAAAATAATGAAGGCTGGCCGAAATTGAGATCATAATTAACTTCTCATTTTTATTTTTTATTGGAAATGGCTGACGTTAAGGTCTAAAATCATTAATCGTGATTAAAATCTATCTGTGATGATGAATAGTTTTTTAATTCCACTTGTTCGGTGCCAGGAGGCCTTGAGAAATCTTTCTGCATATGCAGGTCAAGAATCTTAGGCATCTGTAAAGACAATCATTCCTTTGTATGAGAAGGGATGTGTTACATGGTAACCATGTTTCTAGAGTCTATACATCAGCCCTTCGGTATTTAGACCTAAAAGCTCATTTATATACACATAGTAGGTATCAGTGTAACTGTTTGAATCATTGAATGAATGAATCAAGGAGACAGGATGACATCTGTGTCCTCCATTGCCTCCACTTTTTCACTTATTCAACCAAATCGATTTTTAAAAATTATAACAAATAGATGGACAAAAAGGTCAGGGCTAGATGGTGAGGGAGCAATGTCATAAAAGGCCATAAGAGAGCCAGTTAGATCCAGAGCACACAATCAGCACAGGGCTAGGCAGAGGCTCATTCCCTCTTCACCCTCTTCCACAGACAACAGAGCAGCTTTGGCTCCCTGAGGGGACAAATGTACCACAGAACAGGACTCCCTTGAAGGGCAAAAAAGGTGAGAGCCTTGATGAGGAAGAGGCCAGAGACAGAAAAGATAAGTGGATTTCCCCAGTAGCTGTGGAAAAAACTTTGAGGGAAGGAAGTCCTACCTGAACAGAAAGGAGATAAAATGCTATTATATTTTGAATGTTAAATATTAATGTATATTCATCTGCATCACAGGCTGTAGAGACCAAGATATTTCAGGTTACATAAGACAGACAAAATCAGCCTAAGGAAAAATTATGCAACACAAGGAAAGGAGACCAGTGCCCCCATTTCCCTTGAAAATTTGGAGACATATCCTTCCTCGGGATTATGTTTGGAGCCTGTAAAATATACCAGCAGCACTGGCCCACTGGCTCCTATATTCAAGCAGACTGCCTTTGGCCCCCATCTCCACTGACCAGCCAGCCTCTCTGGGCTCCAAATTTGATCTCAAAATTTGTCTTGGTAGTTCCTGGTTCAGTGAAGCAGTTAAATACTGGCACCTTCTGACTTAATTCTTGCATCTTCTTTCTGCACATCAATGAATCCAACTGGGGTAAAAAACTTTCTGTGTTCTGCCATGGCTATAACATAGACATTTCTCAACTGGGCTGTTGATCAGTATCATCCATGGAGTTTATTTAAAACTCAGAATGGTCCGTTTCTACCCCAAAATAGACATTTCCAGGAGTGGGGCTTGAACATCTGTATTATTTACAAACACCAAGGATAATTCCAAAGTACAGCAAGAACTGGGAACCACAGATTCAGGTGAGTAAATCTCCTTTTCCCTCCTGCCTTTCTCCCAGTCTCTTTCTAGTCTCTTCAACCTCCAGTCTTCTAGTCCTTCAATGGCTCCTCTAATACTTGCCAGATAAAGTGCAAACTTTTCCAAAGCCCTTTTCATTCTGATCATGACTACATTTTCTAGCCTTATCCCCCTTTCTACTCTTTCCCTCTTTCATACCTACCTCTCTGTCCAACTTAACCTCTGAAACCATAAAAAAAAATCACTCATTCCCTAAAAGGCTGTTATTTCACGCCTCGGAATTGCCCATACAATTCCCTCTTTCTGGAGCATCTCATGTCCTCTTCTCTGCTTTAAGATCCACACAAATATCACCTCCTCTGACATCTTCTAAGTTAGCCCATGTTTTTAAATAAGTCATTCCCCTCATTACATAGTGTCTTTATTTTAGCAGGTATTACATAATATGTTACCTCTGTACTTCACTGTCCACACCCTCTAAACATTGAGTGTCTTGGCAGGAAGGACAGTGCTTTATCTCTTTAAGTTCAATCGATGTGTTTGGAATATAAGACACACAAAATTATGAAAGAGAAGGGTGATCTTTATTATAGTGTCTTTTAAGATGGCATCTTTAAAATGTTCTGATTGGCTCTTGATCAATTTTAACTTTAGAGCCCTAACTCAGATCCTATGGCCCAATTTGAAATAGGTTAACAGAAGTATTAAAGTTTTAAGTGAATGGTAACAAAACAAGAGTTTATAACAAAGCCCTTGATTTAGGTAAATCAGATAAATTCCATAACAGAATTCAAGGCAAACCCTAATGCTAGTTAAAAACTAGAATCCTAATTTAAGGGAGCCAATTCATTGAGCTGCTAATAAGATTTTGTTTATGAGAAAGTGCCTGGGGCTTTTTAAGGGGGTTCTTCAACTATTTTTCTAGTTGAAGAACTAGAAATAACATCAGAAAATCCCCCAAAAAAATCAAGAAGGAAAAATTCCCATGAAACCAACACTACTTAGTTATGAGAAAGTGTTATCAACATGGACCTGAATGTTGTCTATAATAGCAATGCTCTAGAATACCAAACTATTACAACTGCAAAACCTAGACAAACCA